CGAGCAAGACTATTTCTATCTCGTTTTGCAGGGTTCTTGACTTGTAAACCCGGAGATAATTGCAGAATATTTTCTTTCATGGCCTTGACTCGGACAGTCTCCTTTGTTAAGCCATTGACCAAGCCTACATTACGACCCTGAAGAAGACCTCTCAGATTGGCAGCGTCGTACCGCTTGCGAGAAAACTCAGACCCTTGCGGATGTGATAGCGGTCAGATTGAGTGTTTTCGATGTTCCCGCATTAATGAACGGGACAAATAACCCTTTTCAACGAGAGCGAGTGGAAAGTCCTTTCTGACTGAGAATCCCTCGTTCAGCATCTTGAGAAGTCCACCTCCCGAGTGAATATTGTCTTGATTGACCCTCAGTGGATGTTTGGTGATGCAAACATGGCGAAACCATCATGCATGAACTTTCAAATACATTCCCGGGATAGACTAGCTTGTCTATCCTTGATGAATGCATGCATGTTTGCGCTAACCCTCTTTGACAGGTAAAATATCCTCAAAGACTCAAAGAACATATGACCTTTGGAGCGTCTCCAAAGATGTCATAGAAAATTTCTTCCGCTCCCCAAGTGGAATTGACACAGCATGCTTTTGCAGCTCAGAGTTCTAATCCCCAGTAATAGAACACGAAAATTCGGGCGTTGGAGAAGCCCTCATTGTCATTCCAAGAGAGATGCCCCGAAAAAGGTCGGTTATTCAGCAGATGATATATCAAACCTCCGGGTAAGAAATCCTAGGTATTTCATCAGATTTCTTTTCAAACTACCCAGAAGGTAAATTGGGTGTTTCTTTGAAAAAGAAAAGCATCTTGACTAGCTGGTCAAGATATTTCATACGATATTCAAGAATAGCCTCAGTTGTCTATTTCTCCGATGAATACGTATGTCTTTGCACAAAAAAACTTGTCTGACAGGAGACACGCCCTTAAGAGGCAGGAACGTACCCAGGTAAGTACATTTTACCCATGCCCGATTCCAGAAATCCATGTACCTACGATTGTTATGGTACCCTTTGAACATCGGATTGACCCCTTTGTTCACCCTCTGAACATCGGAGTGACCCCGTTGTTCACCAACTGAACATCGGATTGACCCCGTTGTTCACCCTCTGAACATCGGAGTGACCCCGTTGTTCACCAATTGAACATCGGGTTGACCCCGTTGTTCACCCTCTGAACATCGGATTGACCCCGTTGTTCACCCTCCTGAGCATGGGACTGACCCCCATGTTCACATCAAATCCTCGGGCGAGGACCCCCAGGTGCTCATCGTTTGAGCCTTTTCAAGCCCTGCTGGCGAGGACCCACCAGGCAAACCAACAAATCCTCTGCGAGGACCCCTGTGTGCTCATCGTTTGAGCCTTTTCAAGACCGCGCGAGGACCCACTGTGCAAACCGTCAAACCCTCGGGCGACGACCCCTGTGTACTTTGACAAACAAAATCCAATACCAAGGCGACCGAAGAAAGGTTCGGGTCCTAGATGCACCAAACAAAATCCAATCACCAAGGCGACCGAAGAAAGGTTCGGGTCCTAGACAGACGATTTCCCCAGTCAAGGCGACCGAAGAAAGGTTCGGGTCCTAGACAAAAACAATCCCCGTCAAGGCGACCGAAGAAAGGTTCGGGTCCTAGACAAACCATTTTTCCGTCAAGGCGACCGAAGATAGGTTCGGGTCCTCGACACACAATATCAACCATCTGGAATTATTCTACCCTTCGGCAAGGTAAGTAGCCCCAGGTATGTTTTTATTTGCTTTAGCACGCATCATCTTATCGCATCATAAAAAATGGGACTCCGGTCTCGCCAAAAATAACATTCATTGAACATGCATGGGCCAAATTTAGGTGCCATTTTATCTTTGAACGTAACATCTGCGAGCTCAATCTCTGCGAGCTCACCTTCAAAGAGGGGCAGCTGTTGACACCTATTTTTAATTTGCCCAAAATTAATTGCACAAAATTTAGGAATTAATTTTCTTTAATTCCTAAAACAAAAAAATATTTCTATTTAAATGCATTGCATATAGACATTAGGCATATGTGAATTAATAGGGCCTATTAGAGCATATTTTCTTAAATTTTAAACAAAAATTTAAAAAAAAAAAAAAAAAAAATCGAGTCGGGCCGGGTCGGAGCTGGCCCGACCCGGCCCATTTTTTTTTTCCTTTTTTTCCCCGGGCCCGGCCCCTTTTCCTTTTTCCTTTTTTCCTTTCGCGCGGGCCCAGCCCACTTCCTTTCTTTTTTCTCTCCCCTCTGCTGGGCCGGGCCCATTTGCCCAGCCTTTCCTTTCCTTCTCTTCCCCTGCGCCGGCCGCTCTCCTCGCCCTGTTCTCCCTCGTCGCGACGGAGCGTGACGCACGGCGCGCCGGCTTCGCCGTCGCTGCCTCGGCGAGGAGAGTCGGATGAGCACGCCGACGGGACCGTACATTATGGCCGGGCCCCGTCTCTCCCCATTTCCTCTCTCCCTTTATCCCCTCCTCCCTCTTGGTTCTCTGCACCCTCTCGGCACCGACCCCCCCTGCTCTGCTCTGCACCGGCCTGCAATGGTCACGAAAGTCGTGGCGTGGCGTAGGCCGGTGCAGGCCGTCGTCACGCCGACGCAGAGAGGCAGAGAGACACGTCGTCGTAGGCTATGAAAGACAGAAAGAGAGAGAGAGAGGCGGTCGGCCATTTTTGAGAAAAATACAGAGGGAACGTGAGAGCGTGAGCCGGGAGAGACAGGAAGCCTCCGGCAGCCACCGCGCCTCAGCCATCCATCCCCGTCGCCGAGCCGACGGCGGCGACAGAGAGAGAGAGAGCGGGTCGGCCATTTTTGGAGAAAAACGGAGAGAGAGTCCGAGAGAGGCCGGAGAGAATCAGAGAGACACACGAGAAGAGAGAGGAGCCTCGGAGGGTCTTGCAGGTCCCAGCCGGCCTCGTCGTCCACCTAGCAGCCGACCGGCGACCCCTGTGCGCGCCTCTGGCCTACGGCCATTTTGGAAAAAAATATAGAGAGAAACCGAGAGAGAGAGAACACGAGAGAGAATAGAGAGAGAGAGGAAACCGAGGCCACGCCGGAGCTAAAGAAGAAGGGCGGGTCGTCGACGCCGCCCGGACCGCACGGAGGCCATCCCGACGCAGCGCCGTCGGCCGCAGTGAGCCCCCTCGGCCGAGAAGCTCCCACTGTTTTCCACGTTTTTGCCTCGGTTTGGCCGGGACTCGCGCAGCCGTTTCGCTCGAATCCCGGCCCATACCGACGTCGGTCCGGTCCACTCGCTCACCGTCCTGAGGCAGGCGAACCCAAGCCGGAGCCGGCCAAGGATCGCCGGAGGAGGTCGGAATCCCCGTTTTCCACGCGCCCGCCAAGCGTTCGACGAAATGCCTCAACCACGCCGGTTTTGTTCCATCGCCGGCCGGCGCGGTGGTCCGACGGCGGTTCAGTGAGTGGCACGGCTGCAGGCGGTCACGGTCGGGCGGCCCAGGCGGCTAAGCATCGGCTGGGTCGGCCGTGCGGACGGCCAATTTTAGCCTCGCCGGCGCCCCCCTCCCCCCGGATCTGTTTGTTCGGGTCGGATTCGACCCGAATCAACAGATCCGACCCGGTCAACGCCCGGTCGGATCCGTTGACTCGGGTCGGTTCCGACCGACCTGGGATTATCAGCCCGACCGGTCAACGACCAGTGCGGATCCGTTCAACGACTAGGTCGGATCCGCTTGACCGGGCCTGCCCGACCCGATCCGGATTGATAGCCTCCCGACCGGGTCAACGACCGGTCGGATCCGTTTGACCCGGTCTGTTCCTAACCCGATCCGGATTGACCGATCCGATCGGGTCAATGCCCGGTCGGATCCGTTGACCTGGTTTGCTTCCGACCCGATCCGGATTGACCGATCCGACCCGGTCAACGCCGGGTCGGATCCGTTGACCCGGGTCGATTCCGACCCGGATCCGCCCGACCCGGGTCGATTCCGACCCGGATCCGCCCGACCCGGTTAATATTATATTATTATTTTATTTTATTTTTAAAATATTTTTTTAAAAAAAATTTAAAAATTTAAAAATTTTTTAAAACAAATTATTATTTTTTTTCTTTTTCTTTTCTTTTGTATTATTATTATTATTATTAATTTTTTTTTTTTTTTTTTTTTCGAAAAAAAAAAAATTTAAAAAAAAAAAAAAAATTTTAAAAATTTGTTTGATATATTCTAAGTGTTTAATTTATTGTAGCATTATTATGCATAATTTACCATGTTTAAATTAGATAAGCCTAGGATTGCGCGGTAATATTTTGCATGTTAGTTTTTATTACCGTTGTATTGTTATGCATGTTTTAATACAATTGCATGAGCTGTTGTGTTTTTGAATGTCATCTGACTTAGTTAAGGTTAGAACCTTAGGCTGCATGAATTGTTGTGTTCCTGACTGCTAATCGTTTCTGATTATGCACTCGCTTGATCACCTCACATGTTAGGAGAAATGTCCTAAAATCAATCCAAATTGCCTGACAAATGTTTTCAGAAATGAACAGGGTAAAATGGTACCGAAAGGGCATTAGTTATCCAACTAGTGTAACCAAGTCCCCGAACTCATTTAATCTCCGGTTCAGTAGGAATAGGGTGATTCTCCCATCACCCTATTTGGGTTTCTAATCGACCCACCCCAAATCGATTAGTGGCGACTCCTTGATATAAACCACTTGCATGTTAAACACTTAAACCCTAAGTCGCGATATGGTATGGGCTTGGGAGAGCCCGAGTTAAGTCCCGAACCTAGACTTAGCACGTACCAGGCGAGCCCCCCTTCTTTTTTTGCATGTCCGATAAAAAAGGGCTCGGGAGTTCGGTCGCGACAAAGAGCCCTAACTCTGTTTAGCCCATTCTTACTTGTATAATGTTCTAGGAAATAAGAAAAATGTCTTCACACTAGCCAAAATGCGTCAGTTACATTGACCACTACTCAGTACTGTTTGATTTCATCCTACTTCTTGACGTTCTTTTCATGTATTTACTTACAGAGATGTGGACTTCACAGAAAAGCTGGATTATTCATCTGCTGTTGCATTATTCAGGTTGTCTCTCATATTGTCAGTACTGAGGGCATTTAACGTTAGAGATGAGACTGCCAGGGTCATGGTTGCAGCTCCTCTTATTGCATTTGTGACCGCATATATCTTGCATCTCAACTTCTATAAGCTTGATTATGGTAAATACTTTCTAGTTTTTATTTAGTCAGTTCTCATTCCAGGCTCCAGCACCCATTGATTCTACAGTAGTTAAGAATGAATGCCCTTCAAGATTGTGTCAGCACTCCAATGTCTTGTAAATCCATGTTGTTCCATGATCCCGTATGTATTTGAATGCTTGCATGCCACGCTTAGATATCCTTATTATCAGACCTGTTCCACCCACAAGGGTTTTTTATCCTTGAAATATATACATTAATGCCTAGTGCAGTTTTAAGAAATTGCTCGACCAGGATTTATCGACATGAGGTCGGGAGTACTATGTGAATCTCTGATATGCAATAATCAGATGCTCATCTCTAACTTTTTCGGGGGGGCCAGTTTGCTTGCGAAAACTGAGGCCTTGTATATTTTATCTCCAGACCTGGATAAATAATAGCCAGGGGTCTTCACGAATGCTTTATGTGTTCGTCATTAAAGTTAGTGGTCATCATTGGCTAACTGGTAGACAACTCAAAATTGGCTTTGAAACTGTTTTATAATCGGCAACGCCAACCATATCAGAAAACATGTATCAAAATAGTTGCTGCAACTTCCAAAATGAAAAGACAAATGTGTGCATCAATCATTCCTACTGATCTACTTGGTCAAGTAATAGCTTGAATCCTAGTCTTCTTGATATTGCGAGACTGCTACTAGAAATGGTCTTAAAGATCACTCTATTGCAGGTCTGAACATGAAAGTGTGTGTAGTGATGGGCGTAGCACAGCTTCTTACATGAGTGGTAGGGGCTGGTGTCACACAGTATCCGTTGCGCTGGAAATTGTGGGTGGTGGTCATGGGAGGAGCCACAGCAATGCTGTTGGAGATACACGGCTTCTCACCTTACCAGGGATATGTATATGCTCATGCTCTTTGGCATGCCACTACCATTCCTTTGACATTTCTATGGTGGAGCTCCATGAGGGATGATGCTGAATTTAGGACATCGACGGGAAAAGAACATCACAAGTGCCATAACTTTTATACGATGCTCACTTGAGTGCCATAACTTTTTTTTTTATCACTTGACTGTCATAATTTATGTACGGCGCTCACTTAAGTGCCATAACTTTTTTTCCGATCATTTGAGTGCCATTCAACTTTTCAATTGATCACTTAAATGTCACAACTTTTTAAAAACATTCACCACAAGTGTTATGCCACGTTTGATTTCTGGCACTTGGGTGAACGTTTTTAAAAAAATTTGGCACTTAAGTGATCAATTCCAAGTTATGGCATTCAAGTGAACGTTTTTTTGGAAGTTATGGCACTTAAGTGGTCGCAAAAAAAGTTATAGCACTCAAGTGAGCGCCGTACAAAAGTTATGGTACATGTGGTGTCCTTATCCCAGACATCAACCCTCTTCAAGAAGAAGCAACAAATACTTTCACGGAAAACATGATTTAACAAATGATGAACTGTCATGACTCGTGAGCGACAAACATATTTCCTCCTCAGTTAAGTCTTCACTCGTTCCAGTTCTTGCCAGCAATCCCTTTGGTTGCGAAAACTGAGACCTTGTATATTTTATCTCCAGACCTGGATAAATAATAGCCAGGGGTCTTCACGAATGCTTTATGTGTTCGTCATTAAAGTTAGTGGTCATCATTGGCTAACTGGTAGACAACTCAAAATTGGCTTTGAAACTGTTTTATAATCGGCAACGCCAACCATGTCAGAAAACATGTATCAAAATAGTTGCTGCAACTTCCAAAATGAAAAGACAAATGTGTGCATCAATCATTCCTACTGATCTACTTGGTCAAGTAAAAGCTTGAATCCTAGTCTTCTTGATATTGCGAGACTGCTACTAGAAATGGTCTTAAAGATCACTCTATTGCAGGTCTGAACATGAAAGTGTGTGTAGTGATGGGCGTAGCACAGCTTCTTACATGAGTGGTAGGGGCTGGTGTCACACAGTATCCGTTGCGCTGGAAATTGTGGGTGGTGGTCATGGGAGGAGCCACAGCAATGCTGTTGGAGATACACGGCTTCCCACCTTACCAGGGATATGTATATGCTCATGCTCTTTGGCATGCCACTACCATTCCTTTGACAATTCTATGGTGGAGCTCCATGAGGGATGATGCTGAATTTAGGACATCGACGGGAAAAGAACATCACTAGTGCCATAACTTTTATACGATGTTCACTTGAGTGCCATAACTTTTTTTTTTATCACTTGACTGTCATAACTTATGTACGGCGCTCACTTAAGTGCCATAACTTTTTTTCCGATCATTTGAGTGCCATTCAACTTTTCAATTGATCACTTAAATGTCACAACTTTTTAAAAATATTCACCACAAGTGTTATGCCACGTTTGATTTCTGGCACTTGGGTGAACGTTTTTAAAAAAATTTGGCACTTAAGTGATCAATTCCAAGTTATGGCATTCAAGTGAACGTTTTTTTAGAAGTTATGGCACTCAAGTGGTCGCAAAAAAAGTTATAGCACTCAAGTAAGCGCCGTACAAAAGTTATGGTACATGTGGTGTCCTTATCCCGGACATCAACCCTCTTCAAGAAGAAGCAACAAATACTTTCACAGAAAACATGATTTAACAAATGATGAACTGTCATGACTCGTGAGCGACAAACATATTTCCTCCTCAGTTAAGTCTTCACTCGTTCCAGTTCTTGCCAGCAATCCCTTTGGTTGCTTCTCTTTCGGTGGCAACTTGTTCTTATTGCGATACGTGATATCCTTGTAATGGACCTGACCCTTTGTGTTCTATTTTCCCCCCACTAGACGAAAACTTGCGGAAGAGAATTTTGACCACTAGCTTTAAGTAGTGATGGATTATGGATTTATGGATATGTGGGCTAGCCATGTTGGGCTAACCCAACCCATGACCCATCATGAGGGCCCATCGCATGTAATTGCTCTGGTAGTTACTTGTGGATTGTGTAACTGCCCCTAGCAGTTCAAATAAACAAAGAAAAAGGCGAAAAGATTGCAATCTCTATCAAGAGAGAAGAGCGTGAATTATTGAAAGAGAAGAAAAACGACATCTCGCTTCTCTTTTTCCCTTTTCCCTGACATACGATCCAATGAGGAACTCTCAAGCTTGCAATTGATAGTATTTAATCTATGGAAATAAAGGTATATTCATTGTGTAATATACCTATTCGATTAGCATTTGTAGATTTTCTTGGGCATGTTTCTTTATTGTTCGAGTTTTGGTATTTAGAAACTGTTTCTCGACTGTTTGAGTTCCGTTTTATTTAGGATTCCGTTTCCTTCATTGGTATCAGGGTTGTGATTGATATACTGTTAATTGGCTTGTTCATCAATCAAGGACCGGCCGAAAATTGCTAACCTATTCCGACAGCTGCTCGGGTACGGAAATCGACACTCGATCATACTGCTGAGGGCTGGTTCTCGAAGTTCCATCCATTAAAAATTGTTTTTATACGGGGTGGTAGATCTCGTCGAGATGAGCAAAATGAGGGGTGGCACGTCGCCGGGGGAGGTCGCACGCACTAAGGCTGACGTCAACAACCGTGACTCCGGTTGACCCAGTTGACCGACCCTACCCGGTTGACTAACCCGTTGACCAAAAGAAAAAAATGTAGGAGTTCCATTTGGGGCATGGTTGATGTTGTTGTGTTTATATTGAAATTATCTAAATTGTGGTATAATTTATTACTTTGATTGACCTCGATGGGAGAAGATCCCGAGACTTTTGCTTGCCGATGTCTTCAATGTTCCCGATATTGTGTTGTACCATGTGTTGACACCTAAATTTTGCCCAAATCATTTAGGGTTTTATCGCATGAAAAATTAGGATTGATTTTTTAACCCTAAACCAAAAATATTCTCATTAAATTACATGGCATATAGATGTTAGGCGTATTTGCATTAGTAGAATTTAGTGAAACATATTTTCAAAGGTTTGTGGTCCAACCTTAAACCACGCTTCAAAGGTTGTTCCAATTACCTTAAACCACGCATCAAAGGTTTGTGGTCCAACCTTAAACCACGATTCAAAGGTTTGTGGTCCAACCTTAAACCACGCTTCAAAGGTTGTGGTCAACCTTAAATCACGCATCAAAGGTTTGTGGTCCAACCTTAAACCACGCTTCAAAAGCTTGTGTCTCACCTTAAACCACGATTTCCAAAAGTTTGTGGTCCAACTTTAAACCACACTTTATTCATCTTATTTTATTTTACTCATTTTATTTTGCTTTATTTTTTATTTTTTTTTCTCTCTTGCGTAAAGCCAACTTTCGCTTGCCTTCCGTTGACAAATTTAGATGTCTTTTATCTTTGAAGGAAACCTCTTCGAGCTCCCCTTCAAAGAGACATCTAAATTTGTCTATTCATTTAGGGTTTAATTGCATGAAAAATTAAGAATTAATTTTTAACCCCTAAACGAAAATATTTTCTTTAAATTAATTGGCATATAGATGTTAAGAGCATTTGCATTAATAAAATTTAGTGAAAACATATTTTCCTCTTATTTTATTTCATTTCATTTTTATTTTGTGTTAAAAAATCATTATTTTTAAAAAACAAAAAAAGAAGAAGAAAAGAAAAAAAAAGAGAAGAAAAAAAAAAAGTAAAAGGAGCTCTTCTCATGGACAGAGGCTCTGCCTCTTTAACTTACAAAAAATAAGACAAGGGGGAAAGGACACAAAAGAAAGGGGTCTGCGTGTTTTCCTGAAGAAGAAAAAGAAAAGCTGAGGAGAAGAGACAAAAACGGAGGGGAGCTCTCTTCTCCCCTTGGGGACTATATGTCCAGATCCGGAGAGAAAAAAACGGGGAGGAACAGAGGGGAGAGGGACCGAGAAAAAGAAGAGCAAAAAGTGAGAGGAGAGACCGAGAGAGATCTTGAGGGGAATCGGAGAAGACGAAGCTGCGCTCATTCGTCGGAGGATCGCCCCAATCGCCGTCGAGTCCCCTCCACCGTGCACTAAGAGCCCGCGAACACCCGAGTCAACCGTTCTCTCATTTTTGGCCATCGGAGCTCCTCACAACCGAGCTGAGAAACCCACGAAGAACCCTTCGTTGCAAGAAGGTTGGCGATCATCAGGAGCATTTTCACGCGCCGGAAATACTAACCCGACTGACCTGGAACTCGGCGACTGAACCAGGTACTTACTTGCCCTTTTCTTTCCCCTGCATCTTGGTAGTCTCACATACCAAGTTCACTAAGTGGTGTCGTGACCCAATCGTGTGATACCGAAGTCGGATCGTAGTGTATAATGACGACTTGGGTCTGTAAGTACCATGTTAGGCCAAGAATCACGCCAAAATCAGATTTGGACCTCGCGTCCTTAGTCGCATGCTAACTGTTCGTCGAAATGCTTGAATGAGATATTAGAAGCTCTGAGCACCGAATTTGGGTCTGAAAGTTCCGAACGTTTTTGGGTAAACCGAGATGAATTTTTCGTGATATATGGGCATTTAGAGTTGTATATATCATGTCTAAAGCTAGAAATCGTATCGGATCTCACTAAAGAGTGTATATTTCAACTTGGATACCACATGTTTGATGAAATGTCTCAATGGAAGTCCGGATGATTCTTTGTGGAATCGGTGTCTAGAACTCGGTTTTTGTGCTTATTTAGTACTCGTATTCGTCGAATCAATACTGACTTCGTGTTTTTCTGGTGTTTTGTCGTGATTCGCACATCGTCCGAGTTGGCCGTGTTTGCATCTCCCCTCCGTTGGAAAGTTCTTCGTCGCTGATGATGCCTACGGTCCGAGGCCGCCACCATCAGTTCACTATTTTCTATTCTATATTGTGTGCA